TGTCTAAAACAACCAGAGAGTTGAGCTGAAAGCATTCAAACGGGGTCTGTCATACATTATCATCAATATTTACCTTTATTCCAGAGATAGGGGTCCATGTCGAGGAATACATTCTCTAAAATAAAAGGTGATACCCCAAAGTCGGGCGACATTGGGAGATAACGGTCTCCATAGTTAGTGGTGAGCAGTAGAAGGAGGCTTTTCCTTGAGCACCAAAACATGGGCAGTCTGAAAGAGAACAGGGCTGTCAGTGGTTATTAAAGCCGTCAGTCACAAACCTTGCTGTATCTGCACAGCGAATAAGTGAGCTTAATTCAAGGTAACTGACCAGACCAGACTAGTGAAGCCAGTAGCTAACTAGTCTGCCTTCCCAACTTGTATGTTTTTAACAAGGTTTTTAATTTTTTTTTTTTTTTAAGTACCACACTTAAAAATATCTGAACTGTAAGTTTAAGACGGCTTTCTGTTGAAGTAGGAAATTAAAAAGCGCTGGAAAAAAAACATTACAGGAAACAAAGCAAAAAATCTATTATTAATGAAGACTAACAAAAACTAAATAGTATATTTAGTTGGATGGGTGGAATTTGTTGATTTGTAATTCCCTTAACAGAGTAACACATTATCAGGTACCACATTATTTCTGCCTTATAATACATACCAATTAAAAGCTAAGAAATAAAAACGTGGTATAAAGTAAAAAATAAAAATAAAACAAAACAAAACAGCAACTGTGTTTTCTCTGTTCTCATCTAACCTGGCCTCTCTAAGAAAGTATGTGGGTCTGTGTTTGTTTTCGCACACTGACACACTTCCAAAACTTCCTAGTGTGAAAGGATTTCTTGTTTTTCATATTCTTTCTCAAAATCATGAATCACCTCCTGGAGTCTCTCTAGACAAAGGATGAACACAAACACACTCACACGTTTCAATATTGCACCAGGAACCTTTGTGCCCCTGCTATCCTGGAGATCCTCACATGCTGCAGTGTGTGTAACGATGCAACACCGTGTGCACACACAGACAGAGGCCATTTTAATGCAACATTAGGTCTGAGGATGTCCACAGTTGGCCTTTCAAAAACAATTCAGAAAGCTGGGGCTCTCGCTTGTGAGACCAGTGCTCAGCGCATGAAATCCTCCGTGGGGACAAATGAAAGCGGCAGGATGCAGATCGTAATGCAACAAGACAGCAGCAGAAATTGTTTCATTTGAAGCGCATCGATTGTGATGGGTGAATTTAGTCATGTTTTGGCCGTCATGAAAATTTACATGGAAATTGGTGTCAGTGAACTAGTGGAATTACGCGCCGTGCCATGGCATATAGGCTGCAGTATAAGGAGGCTACCAGGATAAACTTTCAACAGTCTCATCTGAATAACTTGAGCAAATATATGTTCCTATATTTACCATTTTTAAGTATCTTCAAGCCTGTATTTTATGTAACCACAGTTAGTCTCCTACCTGCTCCCATGTATTCCTACACTCTTCACCTTCTGTACCTACTCCTCAGTGACTACTGCTCCGTCGAACTTACTCCAATTAAGATGCAGCGGGGAGTCCTTCTCCACCCAACCTTTGACACCTTCCGACTACGAATATCCGTCCAACCAGGTCTTTAAAGCAACTACATCCGCCACTCTGCACCTGGTACAGCCTCATGTAGTGAAAACTACTGTAATACTACTATCACTGTCCACTATGAACTAACATAAACAAGGAAAAGAACAAGTAATGATTTTATGGACAGCAAATGCTGAGAAAAAGGACACACTGCTCCTGCCCCTTTGTACAATTATCTCACTGTTGTACCACAGGGACCATTCTGAAACCAAAGTGTGGGACCTTGATATGGAAGCTGCACAAGGTCAGACTGTTTAAGTTTACAGAAAATAGAAAACATCAATCTTTGTCTCCCCTTTGATAGGTGAAATCCACAAGGTCAAATGTGCCAAAAAAGGCCACCATCTCTATTCTTCTATTTAGCTGATATTAAGTTAAGATGCTACAAAGCATAAACCTCCCCCCCTCCAACAAACCAGGCACAAATCCCTTTCTACAATACATTAAATGTTTTGACATTTATACAATTCTGCCTTCTGCAAGAGTAACATCATACCAGATTGTACATGCTTTGTATTTACTTTATGTCTTTATAGGTGTTTATTATCACTAGGATTTACACCGTTATAGCCCCTAAATCCTCTTTAACAGTGTTACTAATTTAAATACTTCTGTAAATATGTAAATGGTGACAAATACAGCAGCTTCAATGACAACCACAAAACCAATTTTTATTTTTTTTTATTTGAACTGGCTTCATAAGCCTATAATACTGATGAGGTCACACAAAAAAAAGTCACATTTTAATGAGAGCCATAACTTTGGGTTTTTGAAACTTCTTCAAAGTGGGTGTCAAATGCAAGTAATGTGAGAAAAACATAAAAAAAAACACTTTAAAATCCCAATTTAGACCAGTTAGTTTTAAAGTCCAATATGGAAGATATATGATGAATCCTGAATGTGGAAAACACACTTTAGGAAACGGTTAATTAGATTGCTTGGTATTGATGACAATTGCTCAGAAGAAAAGAGAAAGCTTACAATCAATGTTTTATGCCTATATTAATAGGCAAAACAACTTTGGAAACCACTGATGCTTCTTTTCTCTCCCACAACAGGATTATGATGCTAGAAAATTCTTGTGCTTGTTTTTATGTACGCATTGTTAAACCATAAAGTTATTATGTGTGTTGAGTGTTAATCACCTTGAGAACATTTCTTTCTTACACTTTTGCTTCACTTCATAAAACCTGCAGTCAGTTCTAGTCGACTCCATCTGAATTTGTCAGGCTAAACAGAACATGATCTGACCTAAAATGTGAAACGGGCAGTATTTAACAATCTTTCTTTATTCTCGTACACTTTAGCACCAAAAAAATGGGTTTTCTCTGAGGGCATAGCAGTCTTTAGAAAATATTCAAACGGACAAGTGCAGTAAGTGAGGATATTTGGGGCCTCAAATTACCAGTGGGACCCTGCAGTACTTGAAATTTTATTAGATATGTTAGAAAATGTGTTGGTTGTGAAAATGCAACACATTGTTTGAGACCAACTTTGTTGGTAGAAGTCCATTTTACTTAGCTATAATCTGCTGCCAGACTCAGGCTCCAAGAAAAAGCAAATTCGTCGACAGCAAATAAAATAAAATAATACACTGCAGATAAGATAACTACAGCTAATGACCTTTTAATAGAACCTAATTTTAATTTTAATCTCTTTTGGAATTCATTTCTGGCTTACTAGTTATCTTAAAATGAGCCGTTGTGAAAACAAAATGCAAAAACGATCAAGGGCGGATAATGTGAAAGCGATCCTGGAGGCGCGGTGGTGGTAGGTGGACAACAAACTTAAACAGAAGTGAACACGTTTACAAAATTCTGCCCGTGGGCCTTAAACATCTTGAACCGGCTCTGTCTCACCGTGAAATATGATGCAAACTCTGCAGGGAGAGGTTGCCGTTAGCATGCATGTTAAAATGTTTAGTAGTCAACATCTTGTCAAGAAGTAAATTAGAAGGCTTTTTTTTTAAAATGCATTCAAAATTCTGTTTATCTGGGAAGTAAAATATCACCAATAAAATGATTTCTAATCGAGAACTACTGTTACAGCCATTCAACAATCATGGTGGAAACTGCTGACTTGACAGAGACTGACTGTCATACATGCATGAGATCGTGTTCTTAAACATTTCACTCAAAAAAGCAAAAGGGGTTACAACGGCATTCAAACAGCTGTAAAGCAAAGTTAATTTGAAAAGGCAAATTCAGAAAGTTTGGCTTGAGGAGTCATCACACAATACAGTGATGGAGAAGCATGGACAGTCTTCAACTATTGAACTCGACAATGTCAGAAGCGTATGACCTGTGCACGGTCCACATTTATTGATGATTTGATGTGCCATGTCAAGCTGACGTTGGTCCACTGATTTTTATTAAGTCCAAAATCTGCTGCTGTCTATAACACAACATTTTACAAGTTTATGGGAAATCTGAATTCATTTTTGGACAGGGCTTGCTGCACACACACACTGCCAAAAGTGCCATTAAATGGTTTATTGACCATGGTATCATTGTGTTTGATTGGCCAGCAAACTGCCCAGACCAAAGCCCCATAGAGTAGAGACACCTGAACCAAGAATGCAGATAAGCTGAAGGCCACGATCAAAGCAGCAGCCATTGTTTCCTTAACACCTCAGCAGCGACACAAGCTGATCCCCTCCATGGCACTGTGCACTGATGCAGTAATCCATGTAAAAAGGAGCAGTGACCTTGAAGTATTGAGTGAGTACACTGTGCAGCACATGGACATTACTTCTCAGTAGGCCAATGCCGCCGTATTAGAAAATCCTTTTTTTAAATTTGGTCTTATGTAACACTCGGATTTTCACAGATCCTGACTTTCTAATTAGCTGTACGCCATAATTATCGAAGTGAACGGAAATGCTGGAAATGGGTCACTCTGTGAATATTTCAAATATACATTCACCTTTTTTTAAAATGAAATAATTAAATAAAAAAACATTTTGAATGATATTCAAATTCATTAATAGCAGTTCTTCAGCATGTACGTTTTCGCGAAGAGTGGCCCAAATGCCAATCAAGCTTAACATAGTTACTTGTGTAGGTGGGTGCGTTTGTTGCTTTTTAAAAAAAAATAATGTCAGTGTAATGTTTGCTGTCAAGTTGATAGAACCATTGATGTGCAGCATAGCCACCTCCTTTATGCAGTGTCCTGATCATATATCCAGTAGATGCTGAATACCTATCATTCATTGCTTACATAGCACCAAACCTATGAATAAAACACCAATGTACTGTAAATGTTCTGCTACTCAAACAGAAAGCAAAGCCCACCGCATTAAACAGTGTTACACTACGCAGAGGTCTATGCATCCTCCCTCTCTCTCTCCAACTGCCTCTCTCTTACTCTGTTGCTCTCCCTCTCTCAGTCATCCTCTCCCGCCGTGGTGCTGAGCCTGCGACGTTGCTTAGAGAGAAAGAGGGGGGAGAGAGAGAGAGAAAGAGAGAGAGAGAGAAATATCATCCTTTCTGCTCCAGCCACTGAACGCACCATCTGACGGGGAAATAAGTGAAGGTACTGTGCAAAAATATGTTTGCTTTCATTTTTGCAACATGTAGTTATTTATTTATTTGTGTATGTTAAAGGACAGTCATGCTCCGATATTTCATATGCACCGATATAAAAGCGACGGAGGGGCGAGAACGCACCTGCCCTCACAGACTCCAACCTTCTTGGTGCAACAGAACCTCACTGAGCTAAATTTACGATGGTATATATATATATGTATATAAAAGCGTGCTTTTTATTTTCCCTGTTGCTGCTTTTTTTTTTTTTTTTAGAAGACTTGTCAGAATAACCTATAATGTGCCCAGATTTTTTTTCTTTTTTTTTCTTTTTTTTTTTTTTTTACAATACGTTTTTTTTTTTTTTTTTTTTTTTTTTTTTCTATTGGGTTAAAACGCACGCCAAAAGTGATTGAATCTGTGTCACAGATTTAAAGTGTCACATGAAGCCAGGTTGGATTCTGCAGAGACATGACGGCCGGGCAGAATACGCGCCATGGACAGATGTGCGAGAGAGAGGGGATTTAGTATCGAGGGAGGAATCACGCAGGGGATAAAGCTGGTGATGCATGCGCGCCCCA